ATCATATAAACGCGTGTACACGGGCAAATATACAGGCAACACGCATGGACGAACGCGAAGAAAACAAGTGTCCTTGCCATCAGCTTTGCTGTGTGCTGAAAGACGGTGGCTGTGCCAAGCATGACAGCCTCCCCGCCTATAACTGCATCACGTGTGTGCATCTTTGAATAACTGCATTACATAAGCATAAAGCAAGTCAGGTCGACCGCACAAACATCGCCCCACGCTGACACGGCATCACGACTCAATGCACAAAATGCTTCAGATTACCTGTATTTAATGTAGTTTGAAATACCTATTGTCATTTGAATCTCTATCCCCGAACGAAACACCTACGCTTAGCACACAGATAACTGAATTTTACGTAATGTCATTCAACGATATTTCAAACATTCGTAAAGATAGGTCTATAATATTTACATTTTATGGCTAACAGCTAGGAATCAAATAGATTACTAGCTTGCTGCTTGGGGTAATCAAAATTCCAAGTGTGCCCCCTGTCAAAATGCATTGGGTGAGTAAGTGTGGTTTTACGCCGCCTTTAGCAATATTCCAGCAATATCACGGCGGGGGACACCAGAAATGGGCTTCAGACATTAAACCATGTCGGGAATCGAACCCGGGTCTTCGGCGTGACGAGCGAACGCTTTAACCACTAGGCTACCCGACCGCCCCTGAAATTGTATTGAGGTGAATGGCACGGCTAGAATACGCTAGGATTCCTGGGGATTTAGTTTCCACGTGGCACATTTACCTGTTTAACTGGTTTTAAACAGATGCTATTTTTTACTCTAAAAAGTAAACACTTGAAGGACTAAATTGAAACGTGAAACTGAAAAGGCGTGGCGTGTGGCTTTGGGTGACGTTGTATACAGTCTTCTGTTTAGGTTGTTTCGGGTAACTGATCACACAAGGCTTCTGTTTTGGCATGTGTCATATTGAGAATGTTATGACTTGCAAATAAAATACACATTTTTAATTTTATAGACACCATGAAAGAGGTAAGTGAATTGAAAACCTTTGTTTCTTCCAATTGAAGCAAATTTTTAAAGATTTAAATGTATTTTGTAATAAAATTAAATGTTTTCGATAACTCAAAGTGGATGCGATGAGACAACATTGACCTACTTTGGTGAAAAATGAAATGCGAGTGAAAGAGTTGGGCTTACGCCACCTTGAATAGTATCTTAGTCATATCACATGATGTCGGGGCATACCCTTGCTTGCCGTAAAAGGTAACTTTGCTTGTCGTAAGAGGCGACTAACCGGATCGGGTTGTCAGGCTCGCTGACTTGGTTGATGCATGTCATCGTAACCCAATTGCGTAGATCGATGCGTGTAGATAGATGCTATCAGTCACAGGAATGTCTGGTCCAGACTAGATTATTTACAGACCGCCGTCATATAGCTGGAATAGTGCGGCGTTAAACAACAAACAAATATCGTTCATCAACTCGAGGGCGGTTGGGTAGCCTACTGGTTAAAGCGTTCGCTCGTCACACCGAAGGATCGGGTTTGATTCCTTACCTGGGTACATTGTGTGAAGCCCATTTCTAGGGTCCCAGTCGTGATATTGCTGGAATATTGCTAAAGGCGGCGTAAAATCACACTCACTTATTAACTCGAACGTTTACTTGATGCATATTGTACGGATCCATATCAAAATGTATTTCCTCTGACTAAAATCCCGACCCGTGAAGATCCGGGATAGAATAGGTCTTCAGCAACCCATGCTTGTCGTAAGAGGCGACTAAAGGGATCGGGTGGTCAGGCTCGCTGACTTGGTTGATGCATGTCATCGTATCCCAATTGCGTGGATCGATGGTCATGATGTCAGTCACTGGACTGTCTGGTCCAGACTCGATTATTTACAGACCGCCGTCATGTAGCTGGAATATTGCTGAGTGCGGCGTTAAACAACAAACCAACCAATCTAAACCGCCCGTGCTATAATTTCCCCAAACAACAAACAAACAAACACAGACTAAAATCACAACTCTGAATGTCAAAACATCCACAGTAAATGTGACTTGTAGTTGTACATCTGTCGTTTTCATCGAAAGCCAACGGAATATTCGTATTTTTATAGACCAATATATCAAGTGTAAAATAATCGCGATTTTTTCGGCTCATTCGCGATGAGTTTCCACTTTATGCCAACTCCCTACAGCGATATACGGACGCACACTAGTACACACGCACTGCACAATTAAACTGATAAGACATCAAAGTGTTTCTCCCATTCCCTATGTTCAGGGTTGTATTACGGGTAAACACCCAGCTCTACCCACACTGATCGCGCACAATTGCTGTAGGCGACTGAGATCGCCCCATTACATCCGCGATGAGCTCGTAGAATCTTTATCACATCCATGTTCCGGGCTGGTATAAATGATAGACCAGCCCAACCAGGGAATAAAGTCACTCCATCCATGCACTGTCTCACCCGGTTTTGCCCAATATTTATGAAATTATGATTCCCTTTGGATATCCGTGTTTATTGACAAAATAGGTGTACGAATGTATAAGTGGTTTTGCTTTATTTCAAAACAATATTATGTGTACACAAAACAAACTCGGGGCTGTTCTTGCCACATACAGTCCAGTTGCGTTAATCCGACATGGTTTGTTGCATCTGATAATGTCGGATAATGAGTATGTCGGATAAACGAAATTAAGTAGTATCAACGTTCGTGATCGAAAATAGGACAACAGCACGATAGATACGATAAAAACAATGGTCAACGGGACGCGATCGGTTGGTCAAGCTCGCTGACTTGGTTGATGCATGTCATGGTATTCCAATTGCGTGGATCGATGCTCATGATGTCAATCACTGGGTTGTCTGGTCCAGACTCGATTATTTACAGACAGCCGTCATATAGCTGGATTATGTTTTCTAATCATGCAACCTCTAAAGTTTAACACATAACTACTGTTACTGACTGTATGACTAATTCAAAATATTTGTATATTTAAAAGTTTTAAAAGTAGCTTAACTGGACAATGACTATCCACTAATTTAAAGATAACAGTGCTAAATTTGTTTTTGATGTTGTTTGTAAAAGCTTTTGTGATTTTCCCTGAAGAAAACGTGTTAAATGTTAATACCAGAAGTGATGTCCACCGTCCTAGGCGTTGTCCCCGTTTCCAGTCAGTCGTTTCCAGTCATATGTGAATATGAGACACTGTGTCGGTGGCATCAGGGTAATTATAGGGGTTTAACAAACAAAATATAGTTCACTGGAGAAGCCAACTGGAGCATTTCGCCCACTGTACATCCCGCTTGCCCTTTTACTCTCTGCGGCCTAGCGCATGTGTATCAATTCCCAACGCTGTGTAATGTATCTTTCTGTTCTACCATCAGATAATCTCCAGCAAGCCTAGGCCTGGATTACCGACATGTCCATTTCATCCAAGTGTACGTACCATGTACAGTTTAAGTCACCTTTAAATGTTGAATTGTACCTTTCATCAAATATCCCTGTTTACTTAAGGTCTGCTTTTTGCAAAATTATGATGCAGTAACTTTTGATACTGGTAGTGAGTGAGTGAGTGAGTGAGTGAGTTGGGTTTAGCGCCGCTTTTAACAGTATTCCAGTTATATCACGGCGTGTCAGCTTAATGTGGGAGGAAAGCCCGAAGTGATACAGGTCTCAGACGTTTACCACTTCGGTGAAACCCACGAGCACGGGTATGGTGCTGACAAACATAGAAACATAATCGGGGCGAACCGGGATTCGAACCCACAATCATAGGTTTCTGGCGTGCCCAAGGGACGCAACTCTGCACAGCGAATCGCGGCGCCTTAGACAACTGGGCCACCCGTGCCCCCTTGATACTGGTAACTGGTAGATACACAAATATTGAATATTCACAGAGACTTTGTCCATTTTGTAAACATAATAATCAGTTATATATTGAAGATGAATTTATGTTATGTTTACTTGTAGGTATAATGTATTAAGAGAAATTTATCTTAGCAACCATCTACCACACGTAAATGATAATTATCAATCTGCCTATCTTGTAAATCTATTGGCATCTACAACGTATGAAGTATTGTATTATGTTAGGCTGTATCTTTGAAGTACATCAATGAAGGATAGTTGAACCTGCAATAACTTGTACAACTGTGTTCTTAAATATCCACGAAATGTAAACCAAAATAAGCATGCGTCTTTAAATCATATTACAGTAAACTACGGTTATAACGAACACGCTTATTACGAACTGACGGATATAACGAACTTACTTTTTGGTCCCGACTACTTGCTGTAGTCATGCTGTATATTTACTTATAACGAACTACGGTTATAAGGAACTAAAATTAGAAGTCCCTTTGAGTTCGTTATAACCGTAGTTTACTGTAAATGACTGTATAATAAGCCTCCGGCCTTAGACTGAATATACCCTTCTCTCTATTCTACCATCGTTTAAAAGGCAATCAAAGGCGGACTAACATCAGTGACTTATCCTTGTTGTAGCTCACCCTAATTATTTCTCCGAGCCCAGCGCCCCTTTAATTGTCCCTGGTCTAGATATTCACTGGTCATAAAGCACCGAGTGGCATGGCCCCATGGCCTGTTTTCTAAGCCTGGAGTGAGGTGGATGTGGTTCACCTTTCTGCGCTGTTAATCTACAATGACCAGTTATCCCTCCCCTGCGATTGTATAAATTTCATTTCATGCCGGCGAGATAATAACTGCCTTAACAAATAGGTCAGAGTGGAACAGGTTCGACAACAATCAACGCAATTGCCGGACCATCAAGCTGTCATTTTCATTTTTTGAGGGGCAGCGAATAAGATACTGATCCAATTTGTAAACTCGAGTTATGAATCAGTACGGCGGAATGCTCGCCATTCTGCGAGAAGAGCCCGGGTGTGGAAACATTGCGCATGGCATCCCGGTCTATCAGTTACTCGTTGATACCTGTATACATGTCAGATGTCCATTTGCTGAGAAGCTTTTTACAAGCTTCAATAAATAACAACAGTAAATCGTTATTCTGTTTATTCTTGCTTCAATTTACATATGGAGTGTGACAACAATATCTTAGAACTTATGCATATGACCGTTTGGGTGAATGTCGCAGCTGTACAGTGTATAGTAGGTTTGGGAACGAATATCATTTTAGCTTTTAGCAGAGATTTCTTTTGATAATTTAAGAGTTTTGTTGATTTTATTAACAATTCGTGTCGAAACAGTTATAAAAAAACAGTTTACTCCACAAAAAATAACAGTGTATAAATAAATGCCGATTTCCAGCTGATTTCTTTTCAGTAACAAGAAATCAATGTACACGAACATTCGCGAAAAGGAGTCCATTATTTCTGTAGGGGAGGTAGAAAGGGGGTGATGAAATAAACTGTTGCTCACGGTTTGAAAACAATGTCTGATTTCATTACTTCAAATGATGTTCTCTGTTATCAGAGTTTAAACATCTACAAAATTAAAAAAATCAGTGAATTGGCTAAAATAACCAAAACCAATTTGGTCTTCGAAAATGTGAACCCCTTTCGGAAGATAAATGGTCGTTCCCTTATTAGTCACTTGATATTTCTAGCTGCCAAAACACTTGATAAATATCTTTAATGTGTGTTATTGCATTGAATAGGGATAACATAAAAATAACTTAACATGTAACAAACATCCATAGCACTATAAACAACATAACATGCAATACCAGGCAGTAGAACGCAGTCTCTGGTTACAGCACGGGTCCGCTAGTCGACATAATTATAACATATCTATATGAATGTTATTGGTAAATGGTAAATGGTAAATGGTTCAGTTCAATGTAGTAACACAAACAGGATTTATCCATTCTGTATAATTTCACGTGTTGAATCAAGATGGTTGTCCTTCTTTACACAGACATTAATGCTACGTTAAGTCGAAGTTCTGGATGTCACCGGGAATAATTCGTGTCATCTGTTAATCGAGACAAGCGTAGTTTGCCTTTTTGTTGTTAACGTCGCGCTCAGCAGTATCCCAGCTAAATGACGGCGATTTCTAACAGTTCATTGATTGACATCATGAGCATCGATCTACGCAATTGGAATACGATGACATGCATCTGCCTGACCATCCGATCCCGTTAGTCGCCTCTTATGACAAGCATGGGTTCCGAAGACCAATTCTAACCCGGATCTTCTCTGGGGAGACAAGCGTAGTGTCGACATTGAAGCCAAGATCATGTCGGGACCAAATCATTACATTATTTTAAAATGTATATCGAATAGGTTCGAGTTATCGAGGTGTCATTGTATAGAGAACGCCTCTATTGTTATTAAACACTGTTTCTTGAACGAAAATATTTATATGATATCATCGCCTTTAATATATCATATGTCTCGTGATACTACTGGAATAGAACTTCTAGCGGCTTAAAACAATATTCATTCACTCCTATGTTATCTGTTGAACAAGATTAGTATTAAATAGGGATATATTAATAGATATATTGTTATTTAATGTAATTCGGTGTAGTGTGAACTATATTAATATGCTGATTTCAGTGTTACAGTGTACCAGTGCGTGAGTGAGTATTGTTTTAATCCGCTTTGAGTAATATTCCATCAATATTAATACATTATAACCATGTTTTGTCACTTCTAGAAGACGTGTGGAATATAAAGAATGGTTACCTCCCTTGTTGTATTGGTATAACTTAAGGGTTTATATAATACACCTCGTTTCTATACACGTGGCGGCGTCATCCTGCCGCAGCATCATCAACATCAGCTCCATCTTTAGCAGCTGCAGCAACAAAAAAGGTTACAGTGTTGTGGAAGGACGCCGCTTTTAGACCTCTTTAGGAAGGACCATATGTGTCATACATTGTCTATCGATTAAGTCTCCTATAAATCGACCACGTCAGAGAAAGTCTCATAATTGTTTCACATATTGACCCTACCTCTTATATTGATAGTGTCATTTATATAGGCACTGTCTCATACATCTACACAGGTATGTCTTCATATTGGAAATATCTCATGTTGACAGTGTCTGGCGTGCAGTGTCTCAGATATTGACAGTTTCTCGTATATACACATTGCGTCACATGCAGATGACGTCTGTTTATCATCGTTGGAAGAACGGCCCGTGCAATCCACATTCTATGGCTGATGGGCGCCCGCGGTCAGATCTCGACATTACGACTGTCGTAAGTCTATGTTAAACAATGAGAGATGGTCATCTGGTTCACTGTGGATGTATCGAGAAGGACCGTTACTGGCAAGCCAAGCAATCAATTAGTTCAGACCTGCACACTCGGCAGTACTTGCAACACCACCCTGGTTGCGACATCACCGTGATCATTCCTGCCAGTGCAACATCGTCTACGGTGGGGCTAAGGTAGAGTGTGTTTTTGTATAAGCTGCGGCTGCTTGTTAGGATGAAGGACAGTGGTTAGAGACGACCTATGTTGACCACAACAACCCGTTTGTTGGAATAATATACGATCAGGGTTAGACCAGTTCACGAAATATTTCCGATGATTTTTTCCAAAGCTGGTCAGGGAGAGAAGATGTTATTGTTTCTTACTTTATTGTTTAGTTGGTAAAAGTAAAACTTTCCATAAAAGTAAACTCGAATAAACGATACTACCTTTATTTACCATGCGCACTACTATTCGAAGAGTGAGTGAGTATGTTTAAGCCGCTTTTAGCAATATTTCAGCATTATGACGACGGGGGACACCAGAAATGGGCTTCACACATTGTACCCATGTGGGGAATCGAACCCGGGCCTTCGGCGGGACGAGCGATGCCTTTTACCACTAGGCTACCCCACCGCGCCCTATTTGAGGAGATGAGAAGAAGGCCATTGTGGCCCCAGCGAATATGACTCACTATGGTGTGAGTGGCTTGGCGTGTCGAAAAGGCGGAACACTTTGCGAAAACAAAACTTTAGTGGAAACGGAGTCCGAACAGTGCTTGAAGATAAAACATACAAGGGACAAGGGCAATTTTAGAGGCGGGTAGGCCATGAGTAACAAGAAATGTATTTTAACAAGTCAGCCAGCTAATACAACTCATCCAGCTCATTTGTAAATTCACACACTACCCCAAACATAGACATGTCTGTATACACTTTAGGCATTCTACAGCTTATGTATACTACTCCTCGTTAAATATTTACTGAAGACATCACATTATTCTCGATATGATAAATCATTGTTTCCCAAATATTAATTCGGGATAGTCACACCATCTTTCAACATTTGCAACGCCAAGGCTTGCATAATCTCACCATTAACCATTATATATACATGTAAATATGTATGCACTGTCTGGAGAATATCAACGGTAAAACGGAATTGAGTATTGCTCTGTTTTATCCTGCATGAATGGCTGTTACAGGGGCGGGTAACTCTTCTTGCTTAATAGTCACATACATCCGTCCGAAGAGAGTTATCTTTTCCTGATCCAATTATTTCAGGCTCGTCAATCAATGTCGTGGAAAAATTTGCGTTAACGTTCCACCATGGAACATAGAATGTTAGAAGAATCTGCTTCTGGTTTAAGACGACGGGTCGTGACTGTACGGGTCCCCACCATAGTCGGAAAGCCTCGTGTCATAGCGGATAACATCGGGAGGCGGGACACCTTCCGCCTTTCTTTTGTCACGTGACCACACTTGAGCCCGAAGTTTATTCGATACTTGCAGTTCAGTTGCTGGGACGCTTCTGGCGTGTACCATGGCCACCGTTTGGTTGTCTATTTGGTAAGAATGAGCTGTGTTTTTGACGGTTTCGTTTGACGACACCTGGGCTTTGGGGACATTCATCGCACTTCTTATATTGAGGGCTCCAGCGTCCATCTTGCCCCCCTTCATAGCCTCTGGCCCCCCTCTGATCTGCTCGTTGAGCTGGCCCAGCCTCGGTGCCTGCAAGGCCCGGGTTATGGACAAGGCCCCCGCGTCAAGCTTCCCAAACTTTTCGGAGGGTTTGTGAGATTTGCAGTAGATGTTCAGATCCGCTAGGTCATTTGGGTTCTGGCAGAAATTCTTCAGGTCAAGAGTCATAGCGCACACCGCGCACCTGAAACAGGCTTTATGAAACAGCACATCGGTTTTGATAGGTCCCCGCTTCTCCATAGCGTACACCGTCTTGTCGCACACAAGGCACCGTGATTTGGCCGTGGGTTTGGTGTAGCGAGGGGGTACGGGGTCGTATACGGTTTTATTGTCGGCCCCTGGATCAGGCCTGGGCGATGAGGGCACGGAGTTGTATGGACTAACAGACGCCGATGACGTCATACTGGAGCTACCTGTTCCACTGTGACCACTGTTTGTCTGTAAAACCAGCCTTGTGCCATTCTCTGGGTCATTGACGTAGGTATCCTCAACCGGAAGTTGTGTTGTGAAGGTTGCAGACGACACAAGTGGGGGGACATCCCGTTCCGGTGACCGTATGACTTCTCCATTGGAGTGATCTATAGAAATTTTCCTCATGTACGGTTGCCCGGGAAACAGATATTCCTGGTCACTTAGATGTCTCTCTCTTTGGTAAACTACCGGTTCTGTCTCAGGACTACCGACGTTTGACTGTCGCGCATGTGCGCCATTAGTCAATTGGGTCGGCCTGTTCACACCATTTGATCCGTGTTCCTTGTAATTTTGGTGGGTTTGAACATGTCGGAGAGAGTTCACGCCGTATATGTCACTAGGATTCGTTATTTGGGTCGAGGTCTGAACATTTTGGAGTGGATTCACGCCATGGTTGTCACTTGGGCTCTGAGCCTGATTTTGAACATGTCGAAGAGAGTTCACGCCGTATATGTCACTCGGATTGTTTATCTGGGTCGAGGTCTGAACATTTTGGAGTGGATTCACGCCATGGTTGTCACTTGAGCTTTGACCCTGGTTTGGAACATGTCGAAGAGAGTTCACGCCGTATATGTCACTCGGATTGTTTATCTGGGTCGAGGTCTGAACATTTTGGAGTGGATTCACGCCATGGTTGTCACTTGAGCTCTGACCCTGGTTTGGAACATGTCGAAGAGAGTTCACGCCGTATATGTCACTCGGATTAGTTATCTGGGTCGAGGTCTGAGCATTTCGGAGTGGATTCACGCCATGGTTGTCACTTGGGCTCTGAGCCTGGTTTGGAACATGTCGAAGAGAGTTCACGCCGTATATGTCACTCGGATTAGTTATCTGGGTCGAGGTCTGAGCATTTCGGAGTGGATTCACGCCATGGTTGTCACTTGGGCTCTGAGCCTGGTTTGGAACATGTCGAAGAGAATTCACGCCGTATATGTCACTCGGGTTAGTTATCTGGGTCGAGGTCTGAGCATTTCGGAGTGGATTCACGTCATGGTTGTCACTTGGGCTCTGAGCCTGAGTTGAAACAAATTGAAGATGGTTGGCGTTGAATCCTTCACCGGGACTTGGTGTCTTATCTGGCTTTTGACTGAGGACCGGATGCACATAGGTCTGTGCTGGAACGCTGTTCAAAGGGACAGAACTGATATTCGATGGCGCCTGTTGCATGGTGACCATATAATACTGCCCCGTCGGCTGTGACGTCAGCTGTGGCGTCAGCAAGGGGGAGTTTAGAGGAAGCTGGGCCGTGTTGAGATTAGGGAAGGGGGGAGCGCCGAGGCTTGGTAGGTTTGGTGTTTGACTGAGGTAGGGGGCGATTGGTGTGGTCAAAGGGATCACCTGATTGCCAAATCTGAGATTACCAAATTGGTCGACGAGAGGTTCCATGCTGACGTTCGGCGTATTGTTGCCAACCCACACAGATGTGGTGTCCTCGGGGGAGTTGACGTTGCCGTAGGAGTTGTAGTCACCGTTCATGTTGGGCCTGAAACAGATATAATGAACTGTAGTTCCTTAGTAATAACGACGCGTAGTAAAACTCGCTCTCGCTCGGGAAATACCGGAATTTAGTCTTAAACATAGTATGACATGAACACTCATAATATCCCCTATATACATGCCCTGTTTGGGTGTATACGCATAAAGGTGAAGTTCCACCATTTACAATTTCTATTTGCTTTATTGGTACGCTCCCCGTGAAGCTCCGGGTCTTCGTATCCCAATTGCGTAGATCGATGCTCATGATGTCAATCACTAGATTGTCTTTTCAAGACCTGATTATTTTGAGACCCACGTTATAATACAGCTAGAATAGTGTTGTATACGGCGTGAAGCAACAAACAAGCAAACAATCACACAAACAAACTACCCTTTACGGATAATTCGCCATATTTCCCTTGACACAAAGGACTTCGGCTTAACAATATTTTTGGTACGTGATGTTACTAGCTTAGTAGGGGATGCTGAAGACTATCATTTAGTTTCTGAAATCTTATATTGCACAATATCCTTCTTGACTCTAAAAATATACAATAAAAAATTCCCTATGCTGATTTCATAGACTGTGGAATAGAGCTAGCTAGTAGGGGCTAGGCTTGCTTTTGTAAGCGTTTCTAATATATTCCACAGTCATTATGCAGGACTAGGGATGCTGCCATAACTGACTTTGTCATCTTACTTTTCACTTTGTTTCACAAAGCTTTGAATCAAGTATCATACAGTTGTCAGTACTAGTGACTGGATGAGTATGGTTTTACGCCGCTTTTAGCAATATTCCAGCAATATCACGGCGGGGGACACCAGAAATTGGCTTCACACAGAGACTTGGTTTTTTTATGGATACTAGGTAGTTTTCAGCTGCAGCTGCAAGGCCAGATATTTGTTTTAATAAGACAATCAACATGAATCTGTTTTTTTAAGATAAACACCTGACAACAACGTCATTGTTGTGGCAGACAATTTCTCTTGTTTTTTAAAGAGTGGGTTATTCATCAAGAGTATATTAAATTATTTATATATGGTGTTTGTACGTCACACACATTTCACTGACGCAGTAGACGTTTATCAAACACAAAGCCACCGCCAACCGGTGCATATGTTCAGCTGAATACTCATATTACTAAAAGCAGCACTGAGAGAAGTCACACCATGAAAGATACATGGAAATGACACGTGACGCTTGAGAGCATCTGTAATTCCACGTGCGTTTGAAACCTGGTTTCACAAGTCATTAGCACAGACTTTGATGACCTTGAAAAAAGTCAAAACTGGAAATTCAATATTTTGTATTTCGCAGTTGACAAGCAGCAATTTGGGCTGAACCATCGACCCAGACATATATATGCACATCAGTTGGTGTGTATGGAATATTTGAGATCAAGGTCGGTTTGAGTTCACTAAGAGTGGCTAGGCTCCAGTCAGGTGTTGGCAATAATTTGTGTGGTATGTGAATCGTTATCCATACTTTGGTTTGATAACCCAAGGAAAACTGACTAGCATTATTAGGACTTAAATTGCAGCCTTGTCGCCACCCTGTTATTCAATCGGCCCTTTAAATCTGGGTGCTTAGGACTTTATCATTATAGTATTATACATTTATATACCCAAGGTATCCAGGTACTAGTGTCCGCTCAAATCCGGTTTTTAACTGCTCGCAACGATGTGTGGCAGGAGGGAAACGAACCGTGTTGGGTGTAATTCAAGTCAGTGACATCCTTGACACCTGTGTCAATATGAGAAGACAGACACTCTGACTTTGCATATATATACTGATGGTAAGAAATAAGAGAACACTTCACAATTCAGCAGAGAGTGAGTGAGTTTTTACGCCGTTTTTAGCAACATTCCACAAATGGCACGATGGGGCTTAGCAGAACTTGACTCTACGTATTTCACCAATGTGGAGAATCAAACCCGGACCTTCAGCGTGACTTGGTTGTCATCGTATCCCAACTGCGTAGATCGATGCTCATGATGTCAATCACTGGATTGTCTGGTCAAGACTCGATTATTTACAGACCGCCGTCAAAAAGTTGGAATATTGCTGAATGCGGCGTTAAACAACAAACAAACAAAATATCCCCTGCTTCATTTCATTGCATTATATGGATATGATGTTCACACGTAATGACACACGCCAACGTTCAACGTGACTATGTAATCTGGTATCTATCGCGCACGTGATGCACGCAGCGTCAGTACCGCCATGACAAGACAAGTGTGACTTGTAAACACCTGTGTACCAAATAACCTGTCCTTCAATGCATCGACTTGTTTACATGCATATGTTGTTCACGCGTGATTGTACATTGTTCAACGTGACATTGAACATCCAAAGTCAGATTCTGAAATATTGAAAAAGAAGGTGCAGGTAATACCTAACTCTTGAAGTAACTTGGCTAGAGGGCAGTTAACATGCAAAGTTTCTTAAAAAAAGGGTGTGTGGATGCGCATCCCTGCACCCGCTTCTGGACCCGCAGTGATTTTTATCGTGCACCTGATACACGCATCGTCAGTGACAAGACGCGTGTAACAGTCAAATACCCTGAATATACACTGCGGGCAATTATATAACATATGTGTAGAAAGAATTAAATTCTGTCATATAATGCACTGAAAAGCACAGAGTGCATTGAGACGCAAACGGTATAATTAACATGTCTCGCTTCTTGGCGTGAGAAACGCTTCCATGTCACGACGCCAAAACAGGGCTTCTTTGAGCACTGGATGACGTTAGGACGTTGACTGGAATGCCGATGCGGTGATATGTGCCCCTCCAGTGTTCCGAGTTGCTGGTTCACAATGCACACACAATACAATGACAGTGGGTCAGACCTCAAGCCTACACTAAGGGTATTTGTCTTCACGCAGTCACAACGGCTCGCTCACTAAGAGACTTGGTATGTCGGTAAAGATGTTTACTCATTGTAGGACGTCACTGTCAGTTGTGTTTGTGGGATTTAGGAGGAATGTTTATTGAGATGACTTAATTTTTGTGTAACTTGATTTTTGGATATTTAAGTCAACAAGGATTGTCTTTCTGTTGGGTCACAAATGTCGGATATTCGTTGACGATGTTTTTTTATTTCTGTTTTGTACAGATTCATGATCAAACGTGAAAGAACTGTTGTTTATGGTGAATGAGTGAGGTTGGTTTAAAGGCATTTTGAGTATTAATTCCTTTACACAAGTGAGTGAGTGAGTTTGGTTTAACGGCACTTTGAACATTATTTCCTTATATCAGTGGGGGGCACGGGTGGCCCAGTCGTCTAAGGCGTCGCAATTCGCTGTGCAGAGTTGCGTCCCTTGGGCATGCCAGAAACCTATGATTGTGGGTTCGAATCCCGGTTCGCCCCGATTATGTTTCTAGGTTTGTCAGCACCCTACCCGTGCTCGTGGGTTTCCCCGAAGTGGTAAACGTCTGAGACCTGCATAACTTCGGGCGTTCCTCACACATTAAGCTGACACGCCGCGATATAACTGTAATACTGTTAAAAGCGGCGTTAAACCCAACTCACTCACTCACTCACGCCTTATATCAGTGAGTGAGTGAGTGTGGTTTAACGGCACTTTGAACGGTATTTCAGCTTCTTCACGACGCGACACCTGGACGAGGAATAGCCTGAAGTGATGTGAGATACTTACCTCTTTGGTGGAACCCACGAGCACGGGTATGGTGCTGACAAACATAGAAACATTAAGTGGTTTCTAGATATGTGAGTCTTCTACTCATGTGATAGATAATGGACACTTATCGATAAACCACACTCGATACATGAGTATATCCTACCTGACATTGGAATGTATATTGCACAAGAAATAAGGTTATACTACTCGACTTTTGGGAGGGATATTCTTTTTGTTCCTCAATAAACCCAATTGGATCAATAAAAGTATCTCTATCAATAGTTGTGTAGTATACCATGACCATGTATTCTGGTTCAAAGGACCAGTAGGACAAACCGCCCTATTTCTACAACTCTTGATTCGTATTTAGCTAGGTCAAATAAAAGTATACTGTTGTATGAAGAGAGTAAATCTACAACGTATGTCACGTCGCTTCAGTTTAACAAGGAAGGAAGGCCCAAACATAAGGCAGGCCCAAAATAAAGAAGGCCCAAATATACGGAAGGCCCAAACGTGACGCGGGTCGAAACCGGCGGGCATGTAAATGGTTCTGACAAACTTAGGGCAATACGGACTTCATACAGACATGGTACACTATTTAAAAATTCAAAGCCTTTTCAAGGCTTTTCTTCTTGGGGTATTAGCCTTAGTCTTTCAATATTCTTTTTTAAATCCAGCATACTACATATTAATCGCAAGACCTAAAAAGTATTATGAACATCATTAATTTGCCAACAAGATTTTCACAACTAACAATAATAATAGATTAAGTCTGCCATGAATTGTAATACTTTTATTAAGAAGTATATGTCATTTCGTCCACATCCAAGGCTTTTCAAGCTGTTTTTGTTATTTTCAAGGCTTTTCTATTTTGGCACTAAAATCAAGGCATTTCAAGAGGGACCTTTAAATTCAAGGCCTTTAGGAACCGTGTAAAAATCGGGACGAATCGAACTCGCAACAGTGTTTTGTTGTATTTATTTACTTAGGCACAGTCTTGAAAAGGTAGAAACTTCAAATCTACATTTACGATAAAGTTTTATCCACTGTATTGTTTGTTGTTTGTTTGTTGTAGTTGAACGCCGCACTGTACGACAGCGGTCTGTATAATCGAGCCTGGGCCAGACAATCCAATGATTGACATCATGAGCATCGATCCCTGCAATTGGGATACGATGACATGCATCAACCAAGTCAGCGAGCCTGACCACCCGATCCAGTTAGTGGCCTCTTACGACAAGCATAATCGCCGTTCATGACGAACATGGGATGCTGAAGACCTATTCTGTACCCGGATCTCCACAGGTCCAAATGAATAGTGATTCATATATTATCTTTACCTGCATGCCGTGATTGTTA